CTGTATTCCTATACATTCACTTCAGGAACCGTCAATTTCCTGATTTCAGCTTTCCTATTGTAGGAAATGTGTCGTATTGGAAAATTTTTGTTGTGTACACAAGGACTATCTTGTGTGTTGGAATTCTGATTTGTGTTCTGATTGTTGTTCTTAAAGCTGCTGCAAGCACGCTAGTACTTGAGCTATTTAAAACTAGTGTAACTGGGTTGTTTATGGACCCTAAGAAAATTTATGTATATTTGCTGGAAGATGTGTCCTTTAAACACCCACATCAGGGTTCTTTTGCCAGCAAAGTGATCAAAAATCACATTTTCTTCTTTGTGCATTTCTTCATTTTTCCCTCTCTTTCTCTTGGGATTTCAGGATTTACTCAGGATCTTTCCAGGTCTTCCAGTTTTTCTTCTTGCTTCGGGGTTGCATTTTCTTGGTCTTTGATCTTCAAGGCTGCTTTCTTATTGATGCAGTAGTCACATCTCTTGCCTGGATAGCATATTGTGTATGGCTTTGCACACTTTTGAAATCCACACAGCAAGCAATCTTGGTATTGTGTGCAGCTCTTGTCTCTAAATGGGCAGTTGTGCCCCTCCATGTGTGTGGGCACTTGCATTGCCGTGCATCTTCACTTTCACAAATCTTGAGTTGCAAATTTCTGAGTCTTGGTTGAGGATCCTCAAAATATTTTTTGTCTTCAACCTTCGGCTGTGTAAAGGTTTTGTAACCACCTTGGATTTCTTAGGAAAAATCTTGGTTTGTCTTTGCTTGAGTGCTTTCTAGCACTAACACTGTTGTCTAATGCCTTTAATCTTCATATTTCTTCATTTCTCTTTTGTTTCTTCCATGTTGTGCCCTATTTCCTCCTTGTTCCTTTGTTATGGGTTCAATCTTCTAGGTGTGATCAGTGTCCAGTGTCTACCCTCATTGTGCTCCCAATCCCACCATAGTCGCCAGTGGAAAATACGTAGAAAACCCACCCTTGCACAAGTCCTGCAAGGAGAGAAAAATCTAAACTACTTGCATTTCCTATGCTATCGGGAATTCTTGTGCCTCTCTTGGACCCCGACTGCAAAACCTATAAACAAAAAGAACAACAAAATATGACTCTTGATCCCAAAGGAAGGTCATGGACAAGGATTGAGCTTTGTGTAAGCCACAATTTTTCCTTTCCAATTTGCTAGCTTACCTTGTTTATCTGACCACCATGGCCTTGGCCTTAGTTAAGTTCCCTCGCTAAGGTTCCCACCTATTGTACCAATCTTACTTGGTCCTACTTGGTTTCAACAACTCACTACATGAGTAACAGAGTGTTAGCTATCCATCTACAGATTCCCAAATTCTCTCATAATCCCCCCTCCCTAGGTTAAACTAGATTTAAGGTTCGACTACATTCCCCGTAAACACAAGTAGCCAAGCACACTAAGCCTCCAGATTTTTAACATCCCTTGGTACAACAAGACTTGATCATGGGACCCTTTAAATCCTAAGCGTTAGGTGCAATATTTGCTTTAAAACACCAGGAGGAAACACCATGGCCAAACGGCCTGGTATAGGTCCACTTCCATCCCAAAAGGAAGGCCCAAGCCCCTAGGAAGAGCGAGGATCAATGAGCTGCAAGGTACTCAAGTGGGGCACCACTCCACATAAGTTGGGAGCATTACAGTTGGTTTCCCTTTCGAGAGTGGGAGCTGCTCTTAAGTACTTTCTTGGGTGGCCCCTCTGGCACTTAGACCTCATTATCCCTACTATACTTTTAGAACCCCTTGCAGCCCCCCCCCAGGGAGACACATGCTTTGGACTTTCACCCCACAACCTGTAATAGTATTTAGACTCGGTCTCGGACTCGATCTTGGACTCAACCTCAAACTCAGACTCGGTCTCGGACTTGATCTCGCTCGATCTCGGACTTGATCTTGCTCGATCTCAGACCCGACCTTGGACTCAGTCTCAGACTCGGTCTCGGACCCAATCTTGGATCTCAGTCTTGGACTCGGTCTCGAACTTGGTCTCGGAGTCGGTCTTGGACTCGAACTCGAACTCAGTCTCAGAGCCAATGTCGAACTCGATCTCAGACTCGGTCTCATCATGATAATCCTCATTATTATGTAATTAAAAGAATAAATTACCTATATATGCCCCTAAACATTTTATATAAAATTCCTAATGAGTTATTACACATTGCTGACTTGATCCTCTATGCAAACTCTCTTCTTCCTTGATCTTCCAAGAAGTCACCATAAAAAGGCTTTATCAGAAGAATATAATTTTTCAGCATAAATACTTAACTTGTAAACATGGATAGTGATTTGCACAAGCCTAGACCCGGATATTTCAAAGCCTGCATTTAAACATGATAAAACAAGTTAAAGTGGAGTTGGAGATGAAATTATAAAACTTATGAAACAATGCTATTACAACATGACTATATGGTAACCCTATCTGCTACCAATGAAAGCAAGGTTAACAATTTGAGTGTTGTTTGTTGTTTGCACTTGTAAAATCTGGATATTTACTGGCTGAACACAATAATGCCTCCCTCTTGCAATGGCCTCTTGCACATTTTTCATTTGGAACCAAAAATGCTCTACAAGTGAAGTCTAAATCTTCTTGAGCTCTCATTCTCTTCATAAAACCAAGTCATGATTTTCTGTTGAATCAATTGTATCAGGATGGGCATCTCTCTTGCTTCTAACAACAAAGTATTTAGAGCTTCAACAATGTTAATCATTTCCCCTAAAACTATAAAATCAAAGAAAACTCTTAAAATTTAGATTGGATCAATAGTTATGCCCAACTCCTACAATGAAATGGGCATTTCTCTCTACCTTGATCCTCTATGCAAACTCTCTTCTTAGAAGGTATTGTAGTGAAAAATCAAAAGAAATGCTAATAGCTTATTTTAATGTTAATTTCTTACAAGAATATAATTTTCCCTAGGCAAAACTAAGAAACTTTTCCATCAAGATGAAAAAGTGGAAAAAGAACACAATGCCTATAAAATAACCCAACTTTATATTATATGGCTAACACTTCCCATATCTTTCTTTTTTTCCCTCTTCCTCTTTTTCAGTTGTTGATTTTGAGATCTATGTTTTCTTTGTCTAGGTGACTGATGCCATGAAAAGCTCTCTTGACGCTCTAGAAAAGGAGGTACCGTGGGAGTTCTCTGGAGCAGCTGATTGGAGTAGAGTCTACAAACTTGAGGCATTAGAAGAACAAGTCCGGTGATGACGGTCGATGTCAGCATGGATCGAGAGCTTGATAAAATGTGAATATTTTTAGCTCACACCGATGTATAGTTACAAAGAGTCTGGCAAAGAGGAGCCTCTGCAACCATTAGAGTCATTTGTGTGTCTGCTGACGAAGCAGATCATGCAGGAGCCAGTTATGGTCCAGTAGGAGCATAGTGTGATTAAGAGGATGGTTTAAAACTGCACCAAAGAGTGATGGCTGAGGCTGGGGGGCTGAGGCTGGGTCCCATGAACCATTGGTCACACGACTGATAGTGGTCATAATTCTCATTTGTGGCGTTTTCCTAAGTTACAAAGCAGGAAAAGTTCTTATTCATATGCTGTCAGCCAGTATGAGTTAAAGTAAAGGTTTAAAATTTGGAAGATATAGTAAATATATAATAAAATATTACGTAATAATTTCAGTAAAAATGGGGCAAACATTGTGATCAATATTACCAAATAAGTAGTTTTGTAGTCCAATACCTAATAAGATGACTAAGAAAGACATGGGCTTGTTGGAACTTTACTGTGATATTTTCTTGTATAAGTTATGATTAAATGCCTCTTAAGTTTTTATTACCTTTTATTTTAAAGTGATTACTCCCATAGGGTACCCTAATTGCATCTAAAAGAGGGCAATTTCACTTGGCGGGCTTGAAGTTCATCATATTTGTGCTGCACTGTGCACTTGCAGCCACAGGGTTTGGCTTTGGTGTGAAGGGTGGTAGTGGGAGAAAGCTCTTGTAATAAGATGCAACTATTAGTGGTGATGCTGATGTGACAAATGAAATTGCTAATGTGAACCCTTTTCTTTCCATGGAGCTTTTTAAGACTTAAGCTCCTGCTTGAGCTCTGGGTGCCTCTATGCTGGATATCCAGATGTTTCAAAGAATTCCTTGCAGGACTTTGAAGCTTGGAGTGACCACTTTTGGGTTGAAGAGTTTAGACTCCCTCCCCTTTAAGAGATTGAGTAGATGTGGAGCTCCCTGGTGGCAAATTATAGCCATACTGAATATGCCATTTTCAGACACAATATGTTAACATCTAGCATTGTGGTTATCCTTTTAGGCAGTGGAGGTGGTGGGGCATTTGGGCAACATCCTTAGCAGATCACTCGAACTGGCAACTTTGGTGACACAATTATCCAATTAGATAATGAATTATAAACTTTGTAATTTTTGGTTTGTTTAATAAAAATCTGTAAAAGACTAAGGTGGAATATATCTAAAATATACTTGAATATTTTAGAATATTCTATCATTTAATGGTTATTATTCATTAAATTACATTTGTGTTTATAATTTATAAACGTTCCTATACACTTTTTAGTATATTCTTGTTTATTCTAATGGTTAATATGTCATAAGCCCTAAAAGAATCCATTGGCGCTCTTTCTCAAACCAAAATTTGCTGCGCAGCAAAGAATGTGGCAAGCGAGTGCTCCCATCTATCCGAGATGCGCTCTCCCAGCTGTGATCGCCATCGGCGGCCGTCTACGCATCCATCCTCCGCCGCTGCGGCATCTCCCGCTCGCTCGCCGACGGCCGCCGCGTCCACGATCACATCCTCGCCACAGGCCACTTCCTCCGGAGCGTCCACCTCGGTAATCTCCTCATCCAGATGTACAGGAAATGTGGTGGCACCACCAGCCTCGCGGCCGCGCGTGTAGTCTTTGATTAGATGCCCAAGAAAGATGTGGTGTCTTGGAGCTGCATCATCGCGGCCTACGCGCAGTCGGGGCATTGCCGCGAGGCGATCAATCTCTTCCAGCGCATGGATGTGGAACCCAACGAAATGGTGATCGTGAGCACACTGGCTGCGTGCTCCGGCGCCAAGGATCTCGCGCTGGGCAAGGCCATCCACGCGAGAATTCTCTCCCCGGATCTCCGCAAGAGCGTGTTCGTTGGGACAGCGCTCCTCAACATGTATGCCAAGTGTGGAGCGATCAAGCAGGCCAGGGCGGTGTTCGATCGGATGCCGCACAAGGATGTAGTGTCCTGGACTGCGATGATCACCACATTTGCCCAGATGGGGGATTGCCGCCAGGCGCTCGAGACGCTCGAGGGGATGATCCAAGCTCGCGTCCAGCCCAATCCGGTGACCTTCGTCGCGGCGATCACTGCGTGCTCCAGCAGGGAATTTCTTGATCGGGGCAGGAAGATCCACGCCGCCGTGATTGACCTGGGCCTCCACAGCGACATCACAATCCAGAATGCGCTCGTCTCGATGTACGCGAAGGGTGGCAGCACGGAGGAAGCTCTTGCGGTGTTCCAGAGGATGGAAGATCGCAACAGGGTCTCGTGGAACAGCATGATCGCGGCCTTTGCCGTGAGCGCACAGTCCTGCGCGGCGATGGGCCTCTTCCACGGCATGAACTTGGAAGGGATCAAGCCTGACGACGTGAGCTTTCTGGGAGTTATAAGTGCTTGCTCGAGCGCTTGCTTGCGATCGTGCAAGCGGATCCACTCGCAGCTGGAGCTCGCCGCGGTGCACTCTCCTCCGGATTTGAGCGTGGAGAACTTGCTTGTCACTGCCTACGCCAAGTGTGGAGATCTAGAGGCCGCCGAGAGGATTTTTCAGAGAATCCCAGGCAAGAACGTCGTGTCCCGCGCTGCGGCAGCATGGGAGACGCCGCCGCCACCTTCCACCGCATGAGAGCCCGCGACACGGTGACGTGGAGTTCGCTGGTGGCGGGATACGCCCACCACAGCCACGCCGATGCCATCCTCCTCTACCGCGACATGCACCTCGAGGGCATCCAGCCCGACAGCGTCACCTACGTCAGCATCCTCAACTCGTGCAGCCATGCCAGCCTACTTGCCCAGGCGCGGCATTTCTTCGTGTCCATGGTCGAGGACCACTGCATGGTGGACGTGCTGGGGCGGGCGGGGTTTGTCGGGCGGGCAGAGGACGTGGTGAGGAATATGCCGTTCCAGCCGGATGTGGTGGCGTGGAACACGCTGCTGGGGTGCTGCAAGGTGCACGGGGACGCGTGGCGGGGGGCCGTGGCGGCGTGGAACGCGGTGGGGATTAGCCCGGGTTTTGCGGGGTCAACGGTGCTGCTGTATATGTATGGGAGCTTGGTCGGGGTTTAGGTTTAGGGTTTATCTACAATTTTTTTCAATTTGCAGTCTGTTGGATTATTGTTGGGATTTTTCTTTTCTCGCAGCTTTTGTTTGCCACGTACCATGAATGCCAGCAGCATGGTTTTAAAGAAATCCTTCCAGTGGACACAACCAGTGAGTCCATATTCTGAAAAAAGCTACAAAATAGTATTCAGAGTTAATCACATGGATTGTAGTGAAAAAAAAGTAAAAACTTATCTTGAAACAAGCGCCTCCTTTTTTTCTAAATCGCAAGCATTTACAAAGCTTTGGAAGGTTGGAGAAATCCACAGACTCTTTTCCTCGAGCTGGATCACCATGTCCAATCCTTCCACCCATCGATTTCTTCTGTAAGCCTTGGCGATCTCTTCCGCCACCACCGGCGATGCCAGACTCATCTCCCTGGCTAGCATCTCCCCCACACAGCGCTGGAGCTCGTCGAGACGATCCAGCCGCGAGCATCCAACGAGCAACGCGTTGTAGCTCTCCTCGCTAAGTTCCTCCTCCAGATCCTCCGCCATTTCCCCGTGTGTCTTGTCGAAATCCTCCGGCATTCCCATCTTCGAGTAGCCGCAGAGGAGAGTGTTGTAAGTCATGGCGTCGGGACGAAAGCTCGAGCACTCGCTGTCGCCCAGGAGATTTGCGAGGCCTGGCGAGTCGCCCAGCCTCGCAAACATGGCGATGAGGATGTAGTACGTGACTGCGTTTGGCGAGCACCCCTTGCGGAAGGCCTGTTCGAGGATGGAGAGCGCGGTTTGAGCGTGACCTTTCTTGGCGTAGGCGAGGATGAGAGCGTTGCAGCACCTCGTCGATTGCTTGAGCCCCTTGCCTTTGAGATCGTCGAACCAGATGCGTGCTAGCCTCAGGCTCCCAACGACTCCGGCGTAAGTGATCATCGTCGCGTAGAGCTGCTCGAGCTGCGGTCTTTTGGCCGATAGTAGGACCATTGGATTGTTCGTGAGCCATGTAAAAACCTGGCACGATCGTGATATAAGAACGCGATGGATGGAGAGGACGAAACAATAAAGAATGTCACCGACAAGATCAGACTCGATCAGGCATGAAAGATAAGAAAACCAAAAGAAATCCCGACCAACAACACCAAAGTTTGATGGCAAGAAAAGCAAGAAACTCATAAGCAAAGCTGGAAGAACAGCCACGAAGAACATAGCAAATCAAAAGAAACTAGAAAATAAGAGAAAAAATCTTAAGATTCTTGCGTACCTCTAAACTGTAGTCGTGCCCCTCCCATGAGATCGCCCAGCATAGGAATCCAGAAGCTCTCGAAATCTCTCACGTAGCTCTTCTTGTCCAAGATCGCCTCGAGCGCCCCCATGGACGAAGCATTCTCGGGCCGCATTCTCATGAGCCTGCCGTAATATCCTGGATTCGGCTGGGATGGATTGGCCCTCGGGGCGGAGGCCAAGAACGAGCTCCAAGTATGGCGTCTCGCTCCACGATTCCACCGTGTAGCCATAGCCGCTCGCAGTCGCAGTGGCAATGCAGCTAAGTCCAGACCTGGCAATCGATCCCCGGAAGAACAGCCTCGAATCGAGACGAGCGTGAGAGAATCCCGCCGCCGCGCGCGCTGGACAGGTGTCCACGCGAGGTTTTGCCGAGAGGTCTAGCGAGCCCACTCCATCGATCGATCGATCGCGTAGCTCTCCGCGCCTATGAAATTCTCTCCATGGGGATCCAGTAGCAGTGTCCTTCGCCGTGCTCGTCCTGGCGGCATCGTCGTTCCTCTCGAGCACCAGCGGCGATCTTCTCTCCAGGCGTTGTCCATGCCCCGGGCGGTGGCGCTAATCCCGATGAGCTCTCCTTTACATTCTCAATTTGGAGGGCGTTAGTTGGGACTAAGTAACATTTATGTGAGCATTCTTACAGCATTGAGCCACTCCGGCCTGGTTCAATGAAGTTTGATTATTTTGTGTTTTCAGACATGATTTATGTTCTTGGACTTGTGAAAACCTTTTTGATAGCATGCTAGGATCAGGGTAAGGTGGTGGTGGCGGCATTCCTGATGTCCGAGTCAGGTTGTAAGAGATCGATTGCCCAATGCAACGGTCCAGGACATTGCTGCTGTGAAGTCGTGATGCTTTATAAATATGTGTAGACTGTCTATAGTATATAACACAGTATACATAGAGTTTATACAGTAACTATCTTAAAACACTATATTTGTTGTTTTTGCAAATTAATCTTCTTTACTGGAAACTTTTATTTAAGTTTCAAAATATCAGAGTTATGGTAGATATGTTTATCTTGGTTCTAAAAATCTTTTATAAAAAAATAGCTAGAATTTATAATTTTTAAAATTTTGATTTTAAGTTTGTTATCAATTTTAGAACTAGTGTAAATTTTGGTGTGTAATGGATTTAGTTAATGTAGCGTAGTCTTTTTGTCATTGAAAAAATTAGTAGGAGGTTATATAATCTATATTTTTGTTGATGGATATGAATTTTTGTTTAAAACAATGAAGCTAATAATCAATAATATCTTTAAAACTTACTTAATACAATTATACATAATGATTAAAATTTACATATATATATATATATATATATATATATATGTGTGTAAAAAAAGATAAATACAATAGAAGATATAGTACCTTAATAAAAATTAAAATTCAGTTCTTTTAGATATATTAATGTATCTAAATAAATTAGCTTCTATGATACTTTGAACTTCCACAATAATAAAAATATGCAAAGTTTCATTCTATCTATATAGCTATAACATTTATGTAATTTTTATTTAAAATATTTTTTTCATTCATTATTTTACATATTTGGATGTGTGAGGGCCAAGTGTACGGCTACGATGCCATATACTAATATTAGCGTAGTGGGATTTTGGTAGCCGTCGAATTAATTTCAATCCAGACCGCTTGCTCCTATATATAAGCTAGGGTTTTTGGGCTAATTGATATGCACATTTTTTATATTCCCTTTCCATATTCCAAACACTCACATTGGTGGAGGTAAAGGGCACCTTTGATTATTCCTCTTGAGAAGTGCTTAGATTTGGGATTTTGGTTTAGATCTAACTTTTGTATTGTCTAGATCTAGCTTTTTCCATTTCCTTTCTTTTGTTCTTTCCTTTCAGGATTTTGGTTTAAATCTAGCTTTTTGCATTGTCTAGATCTACCATTTCCTTCTAGCTTTTTGTCATTTCTCTTCTTTCGCTCTTTCTTTTTCATTCATCTTCATGGCAGATCAACAATCTCCTCCTTTAACTTTGGAGCAGCAGTTGGTACAATTGTTTGATGCTATGCGCTTGCAATTGAACAACCAAACTCAGTTGATGGCAACGTTCACGGCACGTGGTACAACTCTTCCTCCTCTTGGTGCCAATCCTCACATTCGGCCGGAGTTCTTTTGCGGGAATCCTGGGGATGATGTGTACTATTGGTTCGATCACTTCACGGTGATTGCCATATATCATTCTTGGGATGATGCTTGACGTTTGCGTGAGTTTCCCACGTGTCTCCAAGGGACGGCGTTGCAGTGGTACAATGGTTTGAGCGCAGCCACTCGTGAAGATTGGAGTGTTCTCCCAGACGTCTTCAAACGCGCCTTCGGACATGCCGACGATTGTGATAATGCTTTCCAACAATTGCATCGTCTTCGCCAAAGGCCATCTGAGTCGGTGATGCAATTTGGCGTTCGTTTCCGAAGTCTTCTGCTTTATGCAGAGCCAAATATGTTGGAGCGGATCAAGCTAGGAATATTGTGGCTAGCACTTCGTAAAGATCTTGTTTGACTTGTGCATGCACTTGCTCCCGCCACCCTTGACGATGCTCTTCACTTGGCACAACGTTATGAGACGTCGCGTCTTCCACTTTTCACTGCACATCCTTCCACTCCACTTCCTATGGGTGATGGTCTTGTTCAAATGGAGGTTGATGCTGCTGCTGCTCGAGTCCAAGGACAAGCGCGAGGACGTGGTCGTGGCCGTGATGTTCACTGCTAGGCATGTGATGAAGTTGGTCATATTTATCGGCGTTGTTTGCGTTTTTCGGATTGGCGACCTCCATTTCCGGGATGGAGACCTTGGCATCAACAACGTCCTGTTGGTGCTGTTGCTGTGGAAGGTCTAGACACCAAGATGCATCCAGGAAACAAAGAGTCACGCGAGTAACGAAGGGACCTTGCGCGAATAAGTCAGTGACCCCTCCATCTTTTTTTCGGGAGTATCATCAAAGGGTTCACTTGGCACCGGTTCATCGAGTGTTTACTTTCCAAGCTCGTTTTTATAACAAGAGGTCTCCTATTATTCTCTCTGTGTTGGTTGATACAGGTTCGAGTTTATCTTCTATTGCTCGACCTGTTGCCACACATTGTCGTCTACACTTGCGTCGTGCGGCAGAACCAGTTTTCATTCTTTATGGCAACGGTCGTACACATGTATGTGCACAAGATGAGGTAGACCTGGTTGTGCGTGTGGGTGATCTCGAGCTTGAGTTGCAGTCATTGCGGGTGGTGCTGAGTCAAGCTTTTGACCTCATTCTTGGTATGGATTGGTTACAACGCAATCATGCCAAGT